AAATGGACGGTTGCAGTGGGAGCACGATTTGGAAGGACTGGAAGCGCGGAACCGAAGCCAACGCTGCAGCAGGAGCACGATTTGGAGAAATTGAGGTCAGGGCTGCAGCGGGCACATGAGCTGGAAGGACTGAGAACGGGAAAGTTGAGCCAACGCTGTAGCGGGACTGAAAACGTTCAAATCGAAACAAACACATATTAATTCCCAACTCGGCGGCATCCTGTGTGTCAAAACACTAGTCACGCAGAGGAGGCCAGGACACCTCACAGGCGCCTCTGGGGGAGAGAGGAGGGTACTATTCATGTTTTTTTTAACCGTGGAGGAGGAGGAGGAGGAGGAGGAGGAGGAGGAGGAGGGAGGAGGAGGACGACGAGGAGGAGGAGGAGGAGGAGGAGCGAGGAGCGAGGAGCGAGGAGCGAGGAGGAGCGAGGAGGAGCGAGGAGGTTTGGGCGCCTGCTCCTGCGGCGGTGGCAAGCTCCTGCAGCGGGATCGTGCGCGGGGCCACCCGAGCCCGCTCATCGCCGTGGGGGGGGCCGGGGCAGCGGCCCGTGGCCTCGAACGCCCTGCGGGGGGGAGCCGAACAGCACCGGCAGGGGCCCAGAACCGGGAGAGGAACACCTCCTCCTCCTCCTCCTCCTCCTCCTCCTCCGCCTCCGCCTCCTCCTCCGCCTCCGCCTCCGCCTCCGCCTCCGCCTCCGCCTCCGCCTCCTCCTCCTCCTCCTCCTCCTCCTCCTCCTCCTCCTCCTCCTCCCTCCTCCCTCCTCCCTCCTCCCTCCTCCTCCCTCCTCCCTCCTCCCTCCTCCCTCCTCCCTCCCGGCGGCCAGCCAAACAAGGGGAGGAGACACTAGGGGTCGGGGGCGGCGAAGAGGGGGGTGATGACTAGGGGGGGTGGGTATCATGGCGGGGGCCATGATATCTCCCCAGATTTCGTGGCGCCTCCTCTTATTTCATTACGTCCCTGGCCCCCCCGCTGGGCCGCGCACATGCCGCTGGTCATGATTTGCACCCCCCCTCTTGGACACCCCCCTCTTGGCCGCTCCCGACAAGGGGGGCAGGACGAGGCTTAAGTCGGGCCTGTCCCTCTACAGGGGAAGTGTTCAAGAGTAGTAGAATAGTAGTCTGGGGACTATTCTTTGATTATTTGTTTGGCAATTTTTCAGTGTTTTTGTTATGTTTGTTCGTCGAATATCCCCCATGTAGGGGGACACGCCCGACTTAAGACGAGGCGACACCGCGAGCGAAGCGACCAGGCCGGGGGGAAAATCATGTATTGGCAAAAAAAACAAGCACTTGCGACCCAAGGGGTTCCTGGAGGTACACCTTCACGACAGGTTGGCGGGGAGCTGGCCCGACCGCATGAGTGCCACCACGGCACGGGTCGAACCGTCGTCCTTTGTGGGCGGGAGGAGGGACACGACCGCATGAGTGCCACCACGGCACAGATGAATCCGTCACCCTTGGAGTGCGATGCGGTTTGCCAAATTGCCAAATGTAACAGTTGGCTGACACTGACAGACACAATGAGTCGGCAGGGGAATACATCCGTTCACGGTCAAAGGGAGGATAGATGTGGTGGGTGGCAATTGGCGCCTCTAATTGCAGGTGGTGGCGCATGTGCCTTGAGGTGGAGGTGCAGGACCCCTCCCCCTACAAGGATCCCCCCCCCCTACGGCCGTCTTCGTTGGTCGAGGGATCGCAGGGGGTTCTCGGTCCCCTCCAGTGGAAATTGTCGGCAGAGCAGAATTGAAGGTTGACTGGTGAGGGCGGGAACCCAAGCAGCCCGATTCATGGAAGCTGCGAGGGGTGTGAGGTCTATTGACGGTCCTCACCGTCGAGGCCCCACGACGGTCTTCGCCGACGAGGAGGGGTGGAGAGGGCGGAGGGGGTGGTGGAGGGCAAGGTAAAGACCCCTTCCCTCTGGGCGTCGCGCTTGGTAGGGGGGGATCGGAAGGGGCGCAGGAAAAAAGGACGAGGTCGAGTCGGAGGACGGGGTGGAGGACGGGTGGGGAGAGGTGAGGGCCAATCCTCCCTCCGTGTCCCTCCCTCCTTGTCCCTCTCTCCTCCTCCTCCTCCTCCTCCTCCTCCTCCTCCTCCTCCTCCTCCTCCTCCTCCTCCTCCTCCTCCTCCTCCTCCTCCTCCTCCTCCTCCTCCTCCTCCTCCTCCTCCTCCTCCTCCTCCTCCTCCTCCTCCTCCTCCTCGTCCTCCGCCCCCTCCCCCTCCTCCTCCTCCTCCTTCCTCTTCTCCTTCTCCTCCTCCTCCTGCTCCTCCTCCTTCTCTTCCTCCTCCTCCTCCTCCGCCTCCAGTCCGTCTCCTTATCAGTCGCGCCTTCGTGTCGCACCCCAAGGCCGGTCGAAAGAGCGGGCTGGGCGTTTCGCTTGGCTTCCTCACCTTTTATGGCCCTGAAGCTTATGCATTGGCATCAGCTTTACAAATGGAGGGCGGGTCGCTTCCAAAATGTGGCTCTCGCTTTAGCGCCGCGCACACACGTAATAAACACCACAAGAGCTTCACTCATTGAGGGCGGGTCGTTTACAAAATTTGGTTCTCGCATTAGCGTTGCGCACATTCTTCTCCAGTATTTGCAGGATTTTCACGGAGTGAGGGCGTGTCGTTTTCAAAGTGCGGTTCTCGCCTTAGCATCACCCATATTGCTGTAAACACATTGCACAAGCTTCATGGATTTAGGGCGGGCCGTTTTCAAAATGTGGTTCTCGCATTAGCGCCACGCACAGTCGCTTTTAGAGAGAAAAATCGCCAGGGGTTCGTGTATTGAGGGCTGTGCCTTTTCAACATGTAGTTCTCGCTTTAGCGCCGCGCACATTCGTCTTAAACATTTGCAAGGGTTGGCCATCGTGCCAGACATGGTGTTTGGGAATGACTCAGGGTTGCGAGGGCTTAGCAGGTACGTTGATTCGCGGTGTTGGATTCCCAAGAATGGCGTCATTGCATGATTCCGCATCGCCAGTACTTACGCATTAGTAATGTTGATTCATGAAGTTGGAGTCCTGAGAATTGTGTTTTGGCGCGCTCGAGGGTCTTCAACGTATGTCTCCCACCCAGGCAGTTCCCTCAATGAAAATGAACATTTGTAGGGGCCTATGAAGAGGGAGCTTGGAGGGAGGGTGTAGTCCAACATCGTTGATGAGCCTTGGGTTTGCACTATTCCTCCTCCTCCTCGTCCTCCTCCCTGTCCTCCTCTTCCCTGATCTTCCCCTCGTCCTCCCGCCTTCCCACAGAGGCAAATGTTCACAACCACCAGATCAGCTCAGACCCTCTTGGCGCCAGATCTTTGTGCACACGGCCTCCTAGCATGGCTGGGAGCCGATTGCAACATAATACGAGACCTGGGCCTTAATCGGGCCCGAGCTGGCCTGGTGGTGGTTGTATCGGTGCTTCTCGCCTGTCCCCCCACCACATGGCAGCCAGGCGAGCCAGCCTTCGCGATCGACGAGCGCCGCCTTGGCTTTCTTCCTGCCCTCCTCCCCCCTTCCCCTCCCTCGGGGTGCCAGGGGGAAAGGGGGGCAGCGTCGGTCTTCGGATGAGCCCGCCCTGAGCGCGAGCGTGCGGTCAATCTCGCGCCCTCCTCCTTCTCAACCGCCTCCTCCTCCATTCCTTTTCCTTACACGTAACTTCTCCCTGCCGCACCCCGAGGCCAGTTTTCAGGGCGGGCGGGGCGTTTCGCCTGAGACTTCTTCACCATTTATGACCCTGAGGCTTTAAACTTTAAACGGGGCAACAGCTTCACAGATGGAGGGGGCGGGTGGTTTTCGAAATGTGGCTCTCGCCTGATCGCCGTGTACATTCGTTTAACAAAGTGCAAGAGCTTCACGGATTCAGGGCGGGTTGTTTTTTCAAAATGTGGCTCTCGCCCGGAGCACCCGTGGCCCAAGGTGGAAGCGGAGGAGGAGGAGGAGGAGGAGGAGGAGGAGGCGGAGGAGGGAGGAGGAGGAGGAGGAGGAGGAGGAGGAGGAGGAGGAGGAGGAGGAGGGCCGTTGCCAGGAACACCCGCGGCCCAATGTGCTCCCAGGATTGCCGGGGAGGCCCCGGCGGCCTCCCGAGGACCCCCTCACGAGGCCCCGAGGGCGCCCGGGGCTCCAGAAGGGAGCGAGAGGCTGGGGGCACCTTGGCACAGGTTCGGAAACTGGAACATAGACATGACCAGTGGCGGGCCGTGTTTCAATCCTACGACTTTTCGAGGGTCGGGGGCGCCGTCGGGGTGGTCTGGTTTATACTGTTTCCCCGCCTTCGCGGGGAAACAACGACAGATGTATACACCAGGATCCCGTATACACCAGGATCCGCCTTTCTGTGCGAACTTCAGCGCAGAGTCGGAAAATGCGTCGGTTTATAGAGTTCGTTTCCCTACAGGTGCACTTTTAGCAGCCCCCGGCTGCTTTCCCCAAACAGCACGGGATGTCGCCTGGCAGTCTGCCTGTCTGGCGCGCGGCCCCTTGTGGCCGCCAGCGTCTCGGGCGTCTTGGGTCCGTCCATCGTCGCCCTGGCCCTGGGGCCCGCTGGGTCCCCGAGGACACACATGCCGCGAATTCAGAGACAGTATAGTCCGTCAGTAGTACCGCTCCTCAACCCCTGTATCCCAGTATCCACTATCACCATCCTCATCCTCATCCTCATCCTCATCCGCATCATAACTACCAACATCCCCATCACTATCACCGCCATCATCATAATAAACATCAACAATATCATCAACATCGTCGTCACCACCACCATCATCATCAGCGTCATCAGCATCAGCGTCATCAGCATCATCATCAACAACAACGCCATCATAAACTTCAACATCAGCATCATCATCAGCATCATCATCGTCATCATCACCATCACCAACAGCATCAGCCTCATTATCATCATCAGCATCATCATCATCCTCATCATCATCATCATCATCATCATCATCATCATCATCATCATCATCATCATCATGCGTGGGGGGGATCGGAGGGCAGCGGCCCCGCCCTCGCACGCCACGCCGCAGCCAGGCGACCCGGCCCCTCCGCATGACGAGCTCGTCGAGCTGCGACGGCCGGTCCTTCTCGCAGCCGGGCGCGGTGGCGCCTCCGGTCCTCGGCGTGCTGCAGGCGCCCGGGCCTCGCCGCCGGGGGCGATAAAACAGGGCTGGGATCGGGATAAATCGCTCCAGAGCGTTCCGGAGCGCTCTCAGAGCGTTCCGGAACGCTCTGGAGCGGCCGCGGCGCCCAATACATCCTCCAAACCCGCCGATTCTCAGAGATTTCGAGTTATCCCGATCCGATTTTGTCCCGATCTTCGCGTCGTTTTTAGGCGGCGGAGGGGGGGGTTGGGGGGAGGGGGGGGGGAGGAGCGGGGTGGGAGGAGGGGCGAGGAGGGGGGGGGGGAGGGGCGGGAGGGGGAGGGGGAGGCGGAGGGGGGGGAAAGGAGGGTGATGGGGGAGGGGCGAGGGGGAGGAGGGGGAGGAGAGGAGAAAGATGGGGGAGGGGAGAAAGGAGGGGCCTCGGAACGTCTGGCGCCCAGGGCGGACGCAGTGCACGAACCTCCTTTTCCTCCTCTTCCTCCTCCTCCTCTTCCTCCTCCTCCTCCTCATCCTCCCCCCCTCCTCCGTCCTCCTCCTCCTCATCCTCCTCATCCTCCTCATCCTCCTCCTCCGTCCTCCTCCTCCTCCTCCCGTCCTCCTCCTCCTCCTCCTCCTCCTCTCCTCCTCCTCCTCCTCCTCTTCCCCCATCCTCCTCCTCCCCCATCCCCCTCCCCATCCCTCCCCCCGCCCCCCCCCTCCTCCTCCCCTCGCCGTTCTGGCCCGGCTTTGTTCTGGGATTGCAGTCGCTGGCTCTTCGGACGGCTGGGTGACTGCGAGCCTGTCCTGGCCACCGTCGCTGCGCAGCTACCGTTCCGACGCTCCCGGCAGAGCGACGGCGCGGCGCGGAGGCGAATGGCGCGACGGTCCGCCAGCGCCACGAGGAGGAAGTGGAGGGCCCCTCGGCGCCAGGCGCTCCAAGCCCGACGGGAGGCGGCCGCGCCCAGCGGCAACGGGCGAGGCTGGGGAAGTAACCGGCGGCGCCCGCCATCCCGACCCCCGTCGGCGTAGACGCGGGCCGCGCGGATGCAAGAGTATCGATGACAGACTCGAGCACTGCAAGCGCTGCAAGGCGGGCCGCGCAGAGAGCGAAGCAGCAGCTGAGCTCAGCGCAGACTGCGAAGCACCTCGCGGCGCTCCACCTCGCGCGCCTCGTCGCGACGCTGGTCGCGCCGATGGTCGCCGGGGGCCTCTGCCCGCTCTGGGAGATGTGCCTGCCGCTGGGGCTCGCGATCGCGCTGGAAGTCGCGCTCGATTCCAGACATCACCACCCACCAAACCACCCCAACCCAACCCGAAGGCTCAGATTTAGCCTCGATTTCTAGTGCGGGGGGGTGGGAAACATCGAAAAAACACGCGTGGAACCCTTACCCCCCCCCAACCCGAAATTCGGGTCTTCGGGTTGGGTTGGGGTGGTCTGGTAGGTAGTCAAGACAGTGTCAGGCCTCCCGGAGCAGGACCCTCAGCAGCCCACCTCGTCGTCGGGGACGGCTGGCGGCGCAGGGGCGGCCGAGCGGCGCCGCGAGCAGCTGGCAGAGCATGGCCCCCGCGGCCCACTCGCGTGCAGTGGGCCTTCGAAGGTCGGCAACATGCTGAATCTGAGCGACTCGAAGAACTGCTGGACATGGCGGGCTAGGACAGGGAGCGCGCCTCAGAGGCCCAGCAGGAGCTCGAGGAGGCGGACGAAGAGCACGGAGGCATCGCCCAGGAGCTGGCAGGCGGCATCGCGCAGCCCAAAAACCCTCCAGACCACCGAGATCTGCCTCTCCCGGCTGATCGGCGGCGAGATTGGGGCAGAGGGGCTGTTCCACAACAAGGCCTTCTTCGACGCCGAGGAGCGCGATGCGACGGAATCAGGAGATCAAGCGAAGGGTGAACACGACGCAAGAAACGCTGCAGAAGTGCGCGAAAGATCTTTTCTCAGGCGCCCTGGTCTCCGTCGAGAGACACCAGGAAGGAGCGCAACGAGCGCGCGAGTGCGATGGCTAGGAAAGCGGAAGACGGAGAGCTCCGGCGACGGCAGCGGCACCAGAGCAGTCTCATCACCTCCAGCGGTAGTGTCTCCTGCCAGCGGTCGGGCGGGGCCCTCAGCCAGAGCCCTTGGGAAGAAGGCGGACGCAGCCAAGCGGGAAGTTGCTCCGCCGTGTGCTGAATTGGACGAGCCCGATGCTGGCGCGGTGGCCAACAGCGGGCGCCCTTCGGCAGGCGGAGGTCGAGCGTCTGCCGCATCGGGGGATGCCCGCCGACGTCCGATCCCGCGCGCGGCAGCTGGTGGAGGCTGGCGCCGCGACCACCGATAGTGCAAATCGTTCAAACTCTGAGCTCTCGCCTGGGTGACATCCTGGGCGCGGCTGGGGCAGCCAGCAATCGATTCGGCAGAGCACATGCGGAGCCTCCCAGGTCTTGCGCGGTCCCAATGCCTCGGCCCAGGTGCCCCTTGAGGTTCCACAGTTCTGACGTGTTCCAATCCCCGCCCGTGTGGCACAGGGCCAGAGGCTTAGGCGCTCTGGGGGTGGTCGAGTTAGCACATTGGCGCAGGCGTCTGACATTCCAGCGGGCCCGTTCCATTGCATGGAGGGGGCGCCGAAGGCCGGGGTTCGGATCCAGGCCAGATGTGCAAAGGGCCTGTCGCAACACCTCCATCACCTCCGCTCGACAATTTCTCCTTGGTTATCGAAACCTGCAATTGGTCCAGCTGGCGATCGATTGGGGAGTGGCTGGAATTCACTTCAGCGCATACCATTACTGTTCAGGAAAATCACTTTCGAGGTGATAGGGCGAGTGCAGCTTGCAGCTCGCGCACTAGGCATCAGTGGCGACCCTCGGGCCTGGTGGGGGCGCGCAAGGAGGAGTTGTGGTTCTGACGCGTTCGCGGTTGGGACTGCACCACGCGCTTGGCAGCGGTGCTGGAGCAGACGTTCTTGTTCCCAGCAGAGCGCCGTTGGCCGCGGCCCAACTCTCCGGCCCCGCCCTGTTCGCCATCGCCCAGCCCCGCTCTACCTCCACGACAAGGAGGGGCTGTCGTACCGAAACTTAAATCTGCTGAGTAGGACCAGGGGAGCTGCGGGGACGTTGGGGCGCGAAACGACTGTGGGAGCCGGCTTCAAAAAAAACCCGATGTTTCCATGGAAAGTGGTTCCCCCCGAAAAGTTTGGACGACGTACTGCGCGGGCCAGGGCTGGCAAATCGCCCATTGATTATTTTGCGGTCTCGCTGGGCGCGCACAAAGCGATCGAATCCGTAGAGAAAGCGAAGACCACGGTGACTAAGACCCACGCGCCAGTGCAGCTGACCCTTTCTCTCGCGATCGGCTGAACTGCAGGCCTTGCAGTTCCGCCAACTCCCGCGCATTCCGTCTGAACGGCCTACCGGCCCGCCGTTTGCCCCTCCTTCTGGGAACTGGGTTATGGACTTCGGTCACCGCGTGCCGGGCGCGGCTGAAAAAGGGACGGCGTCTCAAGCGTTGCGGGGGGGGAGGAGGAGTATCTTATATTATATGTTTGCGAATAAGGCTGAGACTGGATTGGCCAGCGTCTGTCAGGCTGAGCTGCACTATGATGGGGGTCGGGGGAAGCCACCAGAGCTCCACTGGGCCCTTTGTTTCAATGCTTAGACGGGCCCCATCGGGTACCCGACCATGGCAGCCGCGATGTGGCTGGGCCACCGCGTCAGGCAAGCTTCTGGGGCATGCCGGGCAAGCGGTGGACATGTTGTTATTCGAGGTGAATGGATTTCACCGGCCAAGTTTGTCTTCGACGGGATCGGGCAGCACCGCGACGCGCGTTCGAGGAGGATGTCGCCCCGACCTCGGAAGCCTGTTCGCAGTTGGGAGCTGATTGAGCTGAGGCGACGACTTCTCCTGTTAGAGTGGGGAGGGAATGCGAGAAGGTGAAGGGCGCGATCCAGGCGGAGGCGAGGAAGGGGTGGGCAAACTTGTCGACGTCAAACATCGACAAGGGCGGCAGGAATGCCCACTTTGCTAGGAAGCCTGCTCCAGGGCGGATGCCCACCACCACGTTGAGTGCATGGGGCCTCGCCATTTCTGATCCGCCGGCGCTCCTCCGCACTGAGTCCGGGCGGTTCAAAGGGCTCTGGAAGGCGACGTCTGAGCCGCGCCAAGTGAGTGGATTTGTAGGGGTCCAAGAAGCCCTCCCTCGCCTAGATTCAGCCTTCACGTGAGGAGTCTTGGCCAGGTACCCTGTTAGGTCTGTTCGGAGTGTTGACGGGTTTCGTATGAAACACTACAGTTGGTTTTCGGATGATGCCCTCTCAGCAGTGTCTCGCCTGTTTTTCCTCGTCGAAAGTCTCGCCGCCCTCCCCTCGCAAATCAGGGTCTCTCAAGTGGCCGTGCTTTTGGAGCGGTCAAGGGATGGGCGCCCGATCGGGTCGTTCGTTTCCCTCTTTAGGTTTTGGGGGCGGCGCAGAAGGAGATTTGCCCAGCAATGGCGACGTTCCCGCGGGGGGCCATATTTTGCCGGCTCCAAGCTCGCCGCTGCCATCGACGTCGCGTGGCGTCAAGCAGCGAGATCCGAAGTGGGAACATCGAAAGGAGAAGCATCAGAAAGAGCATCTGCGGGCATTTCAAATTCTACGAACTTTTCCAGTTGGACAGGCTACTCGATCAATGCAGAACGTTCGGGCTCCCAATAGCGATTGCTCAGCTCTGTGTCAATATGTACCGCAATGTTCGGTGCCTTCGTCTTTCGCCCAGGATGTCTGGCCCGCACTTCGCGTTGCTAGGAGCGATTGCAGGGTGCAGCTTTGCGACCGCATGTCTACGGTTATGTATATATTTATATAATTATGTATATATATATATATATGACTGGCCATCAAGATCACGATTGCCAAGCTGCCGATGGACGTTCGCATTGCTCAGGGCTTAGCAGCGCGGGTTCGTCCAGGGAAGTTGTGCGAAATATCAGAGTTTCTCCGGGATCCCTGGAGCAAGTTTTTGTCTCGGAGCTATTCTGCGATGCTCTGCGCGAGAAAGATAATTCCGCGTGCTCCAACCTGGCTGCAGCCAAAGAGCCTCGCGAGGTTTTCGGCGACCTCGCGGGCCCATGGGTGGAGGGTACGACAATTTGGGGATGCTTGATGCCGGTGGGCGTCCAAGGAGGATCAGGAAACGCCCAGCCAAATTCGCCATTCGGTTCCAGACTTTCCAGAAACAAACCAGGAGGATCAGTGCAATGGGGAAGTCTTGGGGGAGATTCCCGAACCTCATCTTCTTCTCAGGCACGCCGCCACGTTTTGAGTGCAGCGCTGCAGTGCACGGAGCCTCCGACGGAGGAGTACATTCAATGCGGCAGTCTGCAGGCAAGGTGCTCAGACCTCAGGCTGCAGGTGGATCGCTCATCGCGCTCGTGATTTTGGAGGACGTTCGGCGTCACCCCAGCATACTTCTACTAAATGTGCGTCTCCCCCCCAGGGGCGACGCGCGCGCCGAGAAATCTTGCAGCATAGGTGTCGTGGCGGTCGCTTTCTGGCCACCCCGCTCGGGAAGCGATGCACTACAAGATGGGTATACTATATGTTCGGGTCGGACGCGCGCCTCCAAGGAGGACATATCGTATTAGTATGTCCTTTCGGGGGAAGAGGAGAGGGAGGAGGAGGAGGAGGAGGAGGAGGAGGAGGAGGAGGAGGAGGAGGAGTAAGCGAATGGGGATGAGGAGGGCGTGGGCAGTGTGTCCCAGACGTTTCGTCCTGGAGATGCGAGGCAGCTCCGGTCCACCGCGGCAAGGGGGCTCGGGCCGCCCACGCCCGCTCGCACCCGCGCGGGCCCTCCTTCCGGGGGCCCGGGCTGCCTTGGGCGACCGGGCACCAGGAGGAAGGTGCGACGGAATGGAAGAAGGCGAAGGTTGTGGAGGACGATCAATGGAGAGGAAGCATGTTGCCAAATAAGTTCCAGATGTCCAAAACGCGTAAAACAGTGTTAAGCATGTGAAACACAGATTTAAAACATTTTACTGGAACATTTCCCATGTTTTCAACACATCTGTCAAATTCAATGAGAGGACTCTTAGTGTGTCCATTGTCGTGGCCTCGACAAGGCTAAGGGTCCGCCCTCAGCTCTGCAGTTGCCGTGGAAAGAATACCGTTGGAGACAAAGGATTCTGTCACCTTGCTGAGCGATTTCGGGGACGTGGTTTTGACGCCTGTTTCGCCAGCGTTGCTGATCGGCATGCTGTTTGTGCGGTTCTTAGGTTTCAGGAGCGTGGATTGCCCCTGATTGTGTTTCGATATCGTTCGAGCGAAGTTCCGATCCAAGCGATGGACCCCGCTCGGGAAAGGATGCGTGAAATCTCTCGTTTGCGGAGCGATCTGGACTCCGAGCCGTGCTTCGAATTCTTTAGTTTGCGGGTGCCAAGTTCCTTCCGCCAAGTGCGCGCTGCGTCAGGAATGCGACGACTCGGAATTCCACGGGTTATTGGGAATATTCGAGTTACAAGGCACAAAGATCGGATATCGTTGTGAGATCGGACATCGACCTAGCCTTGCAGTCGAGAAGCTATTTTGCAGCCGAGGAGTTTTCCCGCGCCCGGGGGGCCACATATCCTTGACCAGCATCTCCTCGGACTACAGATTTGCGCTGGATTGATGAATCAGAAACGATGGGGACTTCCAGGGAAACATTTTCATAGACGGGAGTTGTAGCCGACACATCATTCCCGAATTTCATCGAGCGGGGTGGGGAGTTGTGCAGGTGCAGAACGGAGGCGAGGTTGAAGGCAGGCTGTTCGGACCCGTCTTTGCCCCTTTGGTGGCCTCCCCCCAGGCCGGGGAATTCCAGGGTTCAGCTATGGCATCTCAGCTCGCAGGCGATAGCTAAATTTATTCTCTGAATGCTGTTAAGCAGAGCCAGCAGCCACCGGAGCACCCGCTTAGCGACTTCAGACCACATGCTGGCATGATGCAGTTTTCCCCGCAGGGGCCAAATTGGTACGTGGTGTTGGTAATGTTAAAACCCGTTCGGACGGGCGTTTTAGAGTTCTCTGGGCGGTGGCGTCGGCTGCGGAATTCTGCAACTGACGCTGCTGCTCGGGCTGGAGCTGCAATGCGCCCGTTTTGGTCTGACCATGAAGAGACGGAGTTCCAGCGGCAACTTAGAGTTGCAGTACACGCATGTACTTTGGCTGCCGCGTTTCTCCCGCTCTTGGTTTAAGCTCGACCTCTCAGAGGTCGAGCTTATCCGACACCCTCCTGGTGAGTCTGGTCTCCTTGTCCCGGCTGCTACTCCTGGTCATGAGTGGCAAGGATTGCGTGGGTGTTTCTTGGGTTCGCATTCTAACATAGTGAAGCGAGAAACAATTCAGCCAGCCCAAGGTGTGTGTATTGAAGTGCGCGGTTTGCCAGCCACCTCCCGCCGAGCTCTGGAGCACGTTTGCTGTTCGCTTGAGTGCAGTGATGCTGCGTTTCTCACGGGATGTTTCAAGTACAGATGCTAGTCGGGCCATGGACAGATTCGAGGACTGTCCAGAGGCTGTGATTCCCCAGCGCGTCACACCCAGGACAATCAGAAGTTCCTTGCGACGGGCAAACATCCAAAGCGTCCTGGGATTACAGTCGAGACGAGACCGTGGGCGGTCCTCAAACCTCTTTTCTCGTCGCCGTCCTTGTGGAAAGTTCCTTCTCCTCCTCCTCCTCCTACTCCTCTTCGTGTTCCTCCCCCCATCCTCCTTCTCCTCCTCTTCCTCCTCCCCATCTCCTCGTCCTCCTCCTCCTCCTGATTTTCCCTGTTCCTTTCTCTTCCGCCCCTGCTTCCCTGGGCTCCCCCTTGACTCGAGAGGTCTTCGGGGCTTCTGTATAAGAGTCGGTGCTCTGCTGCTGCTGGGATGACTGGCCGCCTCATGGGTGCGACTTCTCCTCCTCCTCCTCCTCCTCCTCCTCCTCCTCCTCCTCCTCCTCCTCCTCCTCCTCCTCCTCCCCCCAGAACTCCCTCATCGGTGCTTTCTAGTGTCGTCTAGACGGGTTCCTCAATGCCTCCCTCCCTCCTCTCTCCCTTCCTCTCAGCCGCGGCCCCAGCCCATGTCTCTCTTGAGGACGAATGGGCACTGGGGCCAGGATGCACCCCTCGAAACCCGAAGGGAACGGCCGATATCCCTCCCCATCTGGGGGGGGGGCAAATCGGCCAGTGGGGCCCAGGCCACGCCGCTGGGGATGGGGATCGTTTAAACGATACTCATGGGTGGGGATCGCTCGAAGCAAAGTAGTTGGTTCCTCGAAGGCGGTGGTTTTCTTATGCATAGTTTTGCCGATCGGCGCGGGCCCTCGCACCCCCTCCCTCCCCATGAAGCAGGTATTGTCTGTTCCTTGGCGCTTGTCTCAAGCCGGCGACGTCTCCCCCCTGAGGTGCACTGCTGCAGACGGTCGCATTGAGCACAGGTCCGGAGCCAGACCTCCCCCCCCCTTCCGCCCAATGTCGAGACGCCGAATAAGACTGTGTTCACAAGTCAGTCACTCCCTCAGAGCGTGAATTACCTACCCCGCTTTCGCTTCCAGGCAAAACCAAGTCGTACCACGCGCCTCCTCGTCAAGCGGCCTGACCAGTACGGGCCGCAGTTTGGCATCGCTTGGTATCTCTTGGAAGCGAGGGTGGTCAAAAGCGAGGTAGGTTTTCCCCCTTCAGCGTCCTCCAGCGTCCTCCTGCTCCTCCTCCTCCTCCTCGTCCTCCTCCTCCTCCTCCTCCTCCTCCTCCTCCTCCTCCTCCTCCTCCTCCTCCTCCTCCTCCTCCTCCTCCTCCTCCTCTCCTCCTCCTCCTCCTCCTCCTCCTCCTCCTCCTCCTCCTCCGCCCTCGCCCCTTCAGGCTCAGACGACGGCGGCGGTGCCGACGATTTCTTCCCGCTCGCCGCGACAGGCGGCGCCGTCTCCTTGGGAGCCCTCGACAGGTCGCCGCCTGCGGGGAGGGGGGATGCAGCAGAAGCAGGGGAGGAGGAGGAGGAGGAGGAGGAGGAGGAGGAGGAGGAGGAGGAGGAGGAGGGAGGAGGAGGAGGAGGAGGAGGAGGAGGAGGAGGAGGAGGAGAGGAGAGGAGGAGGAGGAGAGAGGAGGAGGAGGAGGAGAGGAGAGGAGGAGGAGGAGGAGGAGGGAGGAGGAGGAGGGGAGAGGAGGAGGAGAGGAGGAGGAGGAGGAGGAGGAGGAGGGGGAGGAGGAGGAGGAGGAGAGGAGGAGGAGGAGGAGGAGGAGGAGGAGGAGGAGAAGGATGAGGAGAAGGAAGGAGGAGAGGAGGAGGAGGAGGAGGAGGAGGAGGAGGAGGAGGAGGAGGAGGGGGAGCAGCACGATACCCAGACCCCCTCGCGTCGTAAAAAAAAACACCACGAAAAAGCTTCGTTGCAGTGTTTGTTTTCGGGGGCCCCCAGCTGGGCCCTGGGACCGTCACAAAACAACTCAGGATGGAACGCCGGTCCCGAGGAATTTGTCGAGGCCTTCAGATATCAGCCTACAAGAATACGCCGTCAAACATCTGATGTGGGAGGTAGGATTTGTGGTTGGGGATGGAAGCATGCGCGAGGAGGAGGAGGAGAAGGAGCAGCAGCAGCACCACCACCACCAGCGGGCAGGAGAAGCGACGGCGCGACAGGCAATGGAAGGTGGATTGCAGCACATGCGAGGTATTCGGAACAATGCCAAGCCCACCAGTGCCCAGCTTCAAGCGGTTTCAGCCAGGCGCATCGAACACCAGCAGCAGTTGGAGAAACATCAAAATCAAGTACGTAATCGCCTTAGGGTTGACTTTGCCCCCTGGCACCTTGAGAAGCAGGAGGCCTTCGTCGAGCGTGAGTTCGAGGGTAGCAAGGAGATCCAGGCCAAGATCGCCGAGGACGAAGAGGTGCCCACGCAGCGGGGTGCCGCACCTTCTCAGCGTGGTGGCGCTCCTGCTGATCAGGTGATGGCAGCCTGTGGGCAGAGGGCCGGCGCCGTGGCCCCTGCGAAGCAGAGTGAGCCACATACTCCAGATTTCGTAATAAAAGGGAGGGGGTCTCATTTCGGGGGGGGTCTCTTCCAGGCTATCTTGGAGGGCCTGGGGGGGTCTGGGGACGATGTTTTGGAGGGTTCTCCCACGGGGGAGGTCTAAAACTTCTCGTCTGGGAGGGTTGAGACTCCCTCCGTTTTATTACGAAATCTGGAGTACCTTCGGCGGGGCCTGGCGCTATCAGCGACCCCGAGTTCGACGGCCAGGAGGTCACGGATGGCAGCCGTCCTCGTGCAACGTTCCGTGATGGCATGCCTGCAAGAGGCAGCATCTCGGGTGCGCAGTAGTCGCGGGGGGTGACAGCGACAGGCATCACATGTCTTTGGCTCTGAAGGGCTCCAGCTGGGGCGCAGCTGGTGCCAGCTGAAGTTCTGCCCATGTAGGAACACAGGCTCCGACATCATCGTTTTCCAGATGTGCAGCCTCCTTCAGTATCCAAGGGTGGGCTAAGCGGCTCCATGTTCAAACACGTCTTGTAATTCGGGGGAGGGCATTCTAGTTAGGAGGCGTGTGGATTCCTGGCAGTCGTCTGCGTCTACTAGAGCATTTGCTATTGGGGGGCTCCTGCACGCCTTTCTGAGGGCTCGGAGTTTCAGGGCTGTCAGTTTATGGTATTCGTATCGGGTTGATCGTATAGGCGCTGTGCAGCGCTACCTAGGACCAAGTGGCAAACAGGAGTTCAAAGTAACTGAGGATTCCAGCTGTGCCCTTGACGCAGCCTCCAACCCCCTGGTCACCAGGACCTCGCTGATGACACCCAGTCGGTGCTTGCTTTCTCAAGCGGACCGACGCAAAAGGCAGAAGAGTCTAGACACATTCTAAGCATTCGGAGAATGATGGCCAGGGGGTAAGCTTTTCGTGTTTGAGGAAGTCCTTCTTTTTGAGCTTCTGGTCACCAAGGGGAGGCGACAACCAAGCGTCGCCATTCGTTTTGTTCCTGGATGATCCGCTGGTTCAAGGAGCACCATGTTATGGTTCTCTAGGGCCCTTCGGCTCAGCTGCTCTGCCTGGCTCAGCACTTGTTTAACTTGTCCAGAAGAGGGAGCCTCGTCAGAACCCAAGTGGACCCATTGCGAGTTCTGGCGCCAGCTGTGCAGTGGGCTGGCGGGGCTTTGCGCCAGCCAAGCCAAGTTTGATGAGTTTACGAGAACTGTAGATGCATGGCAACATGTTCGACACATATTGCATGATACTTATCTTGGCAAGGAGAGTAAGGATGCAACGGAGAAACGGGGGTAATGGTGCGATGGGGGTATTTGCAGAGGGAGCTGAACGAGGCCACGCTGCTAGTAAGACCATTCTCTGCTTTATAGAGGACTGCGTTGTCCTGCCAGATGGCCCACCATGTTCATACGTTAGCAGGGACGTCATGAGATTCGGAGCTCGGCTCCGGGATCGCGTGAAATTTCAAACACATGATTTGGGCGATGCCTGTAGATTGCCGAGCCCCCGCGGGCTCATCAACGGACAAGCCCAGGAAGTTGTCGAAATGGAATAAGGTTTGGGCGACGGCCGTCGACGGACACCGTCCTCAACATGACCAGCATTTGTGTGAAGAAGCTTTAGGAGTAATGGAGGAGTTCTGCAGTCTCATGAACATGATTGGGAGTATCCCTATCAGACCTCCAGACCCTAATGGCCACCCTCTTCAGGAAACCAGCTCCAGGGGGGAGACCGACCCGGCTTTGCAAGAGTTTCAGCCGCATGCACTGGAGGAGCCTGGCGTGCCGCTGCAGACACTGGGAGCGCCAGCGCGGCAGGTCGAATTGTTTGTCCATGTCATTTTGCCGCCCTATCACCCACGCGGTGCGGAGAGAAATGGTGCGCGCAGACGATTCGTGTAGCTTTGGTTGCGTGCCGCTGGCCGCGGCACCTAGTCACGGACTGCGTTGCAGGGGATGCGTGCATGCTGCCTCAAGATATTGCGGCGAAATCATCAGTGGAAGCCCGCATGTTTCCGACGAGTCGCTAAGCAAGGGCCTGCGAGATCACGGGGATCTCCGTTTCAATCGATGGCGTCACACTCGGCTCGATTGGTGGCATGGCCGAACCAATATGTATGTGTATATACGCTTTGGGAGGTTTAGCTGGCAGGGCGCTATGCGCCTGCGCTCGTACTCTTGTTGAACTGCCCATCCACGAGGATGAATCGAATTCCGCGTCGAACATGATGGAGGCGCGTCGATTGGCGCCATTGGCCAACATAGGTAAGACCAGAAGCTCACCAGGGCACGCAAGGGGAGTCCAAGGCATGCTAGGGGAAAGTCCAGGTGGGAGAACAATAGTTGGAGGGTGCCAGAGGTCACCGGGCCCTTGGACAAGCAGTTAGGACAAGCAATCAAGGAGTCAATTATGTAGCTGCGCGCTGATCTCGTCGATATGTTTTGGAGAGGATGTCCAAGGGCGCTGTCGCGTGGGGCGGAACAAGCCGCGCGCGCAGGCTGCGAGAGCTCAGCGATCCTGGCGGCCGGCTTCGATGTCAATATCGATTGGATGTTTCGAATGGTGGTTGGCCACGGAGCCCGGGGACAACCTCGGCCCTCAAGAATTTGTAATGTTTCGAGGAGTCTCGGGAGTTCTACTGGGGGGAGGGAACAACATCAGACCAGCTCGATCTCAACATCGCGGAGACTCCACTTGCTTCCACTCGCAGGCTCGTTGGCGAGGACGTTCAAATTCAGCTCCTGCTAGACGCGTCCAAGGCCGAGCTGCTACCCGAGGTCGACCCTGAGGGCCCCGAGGACTTCCAGGATGAGCGCCCTAAAGTTCAGGCTGGCAGGAAGCGGAGTCTCTGGTGCTACCCGTTTTCAAAGGTTTGGGACGGCAGTGCATAGGGTTGTTCTGCTAAACGCAAGTTGGAGCATCTCGTTCCAGGGGCCACTCCGACAGGGCACTGCCTGTGGAGGAAGGGCTACGAGCTGGGGCCCAGGTGCCCCTACTGCAACTGGTGCGGCTCCGCGTTTCACCGCATCTGGCGCTGCCCGCACGGAGACCACGCGCGTGCGCAGGTGGGCCAGGCTACTGCAGACCATGCGGCGGCCTCCGAAGGCAAGGGCCCGCTGCGCGCACATCTGTGGACCCCTGCGCCCGAGGTCCAGACCTCACCCTCTGAGGAGGAGGAGGAGGCGAAGGTGGAATGCATGGGCGGAGGAGGAGAAATTGATGGGTTCGGTCCCATTTGTCTGATTCAGTGTCCCAGTGCCACGTGGGCGGAACAGCACGGGCCGTTGCAGACGCTGTGTCAGGAATGCGTGGGCGGATACCCTGCGTCGCGCTGCCGCTTGTAATTTCGCCAGCCCCCAAGGACGCCGGAAGTGTAAAATACTCATTGGGCGGGTGGACTCAAATTGTCGCTGTAACCATCGTTGGGTTCCGGCCGCCTGTCCGTGGCGGCATGATGTATTGTGGAATGGCCGTCTTTGGCGGTGCTCGAGATGCGATCGCAGCTTCCGAGGGCCACCTAGTCAGAGTAACCGCTGCTGCCGTTTTTCGCCCAGTTTCGGGATCCTGACCCAGGGGACCCCGCCGAGCCTAAGCACACCCTCTGGGCGGTGCAGGTGGCCAGCTCTCGGATTGTAGTTCTTTGCTCTAAGTCCCTCAATAATTTTGGGGTGGCCAATAGTCCAAGAAGGGGGGGGGCCTGAAGTTGGGGGGGGCCCTTTGTGGTCCGGGCGGGGGTCCCTGTAGTCCGGGTGGGTGGGGGTGGGGGCCCTTGGAGTCCAGGGGGGGAGGGTCCCTGCAGTCTGGGGGGTCCCTCGAGGGGCCAAGCTGCGCGCCCCCCCCCCCCCCGCCGCAAAGTTAAGCACCTATGTCGCCCGTGGTGGGCGCTGCCAAACACGCAAGTGTCGTTGCTATTCTGCGTCCCTCTGCAGGCCAATTGGAGCCAGGTCTTGCGCGGGCCACACACTGGCACGCGC